TTCTTTTTGAAGTAAAAAGTTTGTTGTTGTAATAAATGTAGATAATTCGATTAGGCTTGTTTTTATTTCACCATCTTCATTCATTTTTTATTATGTCTTCTATTTGTTTCTTCAACTTCTTCAATGAATTTGATTTCTTCTCTTATTTCTTTGTTTTCTTTACAACAAAATTTAGCATGAAAACGAACACATTCTCATAGAGCTCATGGTAATAAATCCGGTGACAAACAAATTTCATTTAATGATTTTGACATTTTATGCATGTAAAACAATATTTTTAAAATAATTTTCTACATTTTTCATTCATTTTTGTGAAGAAAAAAGCATACAATAAAGTGGGTTTTTTTTCTTCTTAAAGTTCTTTTTTGTATGTCCTTCTATTTCTTTTTCTTCTTCTTTTATTAATTTAATTTCTTCTTCAATTATTCTCTTTAATTCTTCTTTTTCTTTACAGCAAACGTTTGCATGATAGTCAATAGTCTCTGCTTGAGTTAGTGCTGGTAATTTTTTATAAAGCAAATAAAGTTTGTAATCAAAACACAACCCACAATGAAGGCAATAATTATAAAATAACTTGCTGTATAGTTTACTGATGGAAGTAAACGGCATATTGATTTGAAGTGCTTTTTGTTGAGTCATGCTCATAAACCACAAAAACATGTTAAGGAAATAGAATGTGCGTAGTTTAGTTTATTAATGTATCCGTTCCCACACGGCTAAGAGCCAAGGAACAGTTATTGACGTTAGTTAAATTTCCTTATATACCATATATAGCGTAAACAGAGGACCTACTCCTGCCAATAATATTATTTTGTTGTTTGTAATAAATAGTATAAATACTGCTTTGTAAAATAATAAAAATCAGTTCGATCATTAAGTTCACTCGTGGTTGTTACTAAAAGGTATAGATTATACTAAGAAAGTGATATGGCGAGTAACACGAACTCAACAGGTTATGGGCCCAGGAGAGGTTTGCTTTTCGATGGAAGCGAAAGCAAGTACGAGTTATGGGAAGTAAAATTCTTGGGCTATATGCGTCTTCAAAAACTGTACGACGTATTTATCGAATCAGCAAGTGAGAGAGAAGAACCAGCAGCTTCAAAACTGGCTGACGCTTTTGCAGAGTTGGTGCAATGTCTGGACGACAGAAGTTTGTCTCTTGTGATTCGGGAGGCAAAAGACAACGGACGGAGAGCTTTAGAAATCCTCAGACATCACTATCAAGGCAGAGGAAAACCTCGCATCATCGCTCTTTACACGGAACTCACTTCGCTGAAGAAAAGTGACGACGAAACTGTCACAGATTATATATTGCGAGCGGAACGATCGGCAACAGCCTTAAGAGAAGCCGAGGAGATAATAAGTGATGCACTACTCATTGCAATGGTTTTAAAGGGTCTGCCAAGCACGTACGACGTCTTTGCTACCGTAACAGTTCAAAGGAAAGACAGATGACATTTACGGAATTTAAGAACTCGTTACGAAGTCATGAAGAAAATATCAAACCATTGTCACCAAAACTGAGGTGGGTGACAACGTTATGTATGTGAAACCAAAATTCGACGGGAATTGTTTCAAATGTGGAAGAAAGGGACACAAAAGCTCACAATGCCGAGTGAAGGGAACAAATGGTGCTCCATAAGCAAGACCAAGACCCACGACACGAAAGATTGCCGAAAGACGAAAGAAACGTCCAAGTCAGCTAAAGACGAGCAGCGCAGTGACAGCGAACGGCAACACTCCTTCTTATTCGTGTCAAAGGATGAAGAAGAGAACGCTGAAGCAGATGTGAAGACTAAGGATCAAGCGAATTTCACTCTACTGGTGGACACAGGAGCTACAAGCCACATTATTAACGATAACTCAAAATTTATAGATTTTGATAGTAAATTCGATAGTAAAGCGCATGTTATTGAATTAGCAGATGGCAGTAAAGCCAACGTAGTAGTCGGTAAAGGTACTGCTAAAGTCAAATTAGTTGACTTGCATGGAAATGCGCAGGATGTCTTATTAAGTAATGCCTTATATGTTCCATCTTACGATCAAAATATATTCTCAGTAAATGCTGCCGTAGAAAAGGGGGCAAAAGTCAAATTAGATAAACACGATAAGCATGTACAGTGCCCTGATGGCACAACGTTTGGAATAAGACAAAAAGGCAAACTTTACTATATAAATAGCATATCATCTTTGAATAAAAATGCATGTTCTCTTTACGAGTGGCACAGGGTTCTAGGTCACTGCAACTACAAGGATGTTAGGAAACTAGAGAAGGTGGTTAAGGGGATGAAAATCACAGACTTGAGGGAAGTTGAGTGTGAGGTTTGTACGCAAGGTAAAATGTGTCAGACGAAAAGTAAGCTGGAAGATAAAAAGGCGAGGGGTCCTCTTGAGTTTATTCATACGGATCTTGCAGGTCCTATTGATCCGGAAGGAAGAGAAGGGTTTAGATATGCATTGTCGTTTGTGGATGATTATTCACGATTGAATATGGTCTATTTTCTTAAGCATAAAAGCGATACACCACAAGCATTAAAACAGTTTTTAGCAGATGTTGCACCTTACGGAAGTGTGAAGCGCATAAGAAGTGATAACGGCACTGAATTTACCAGCGAGAAATTCAAATCGATTCTTAGGGAAAACAAAATTAGGCATGAAACTAGTGCACCATATTCGCCACACCAGAAAGGCACAGTTGAGAGATCGTGGTTAACTCTATTTAACATGGCTAGGTGTCTATTGCTAGAAGCGGAACTACCAAAATCCATGTGGACATATGCCGTCATGGCATCTGCTTATATTAGGAATCGTTGTTTTAATTCGAGGTTGAACAAAACTCCGTTTGAAGCGTTTACAGGCTCAAAACCAGACTTGAGCAAAATGCACGTTTTTGGTTGTGTTTGCTATGGTTTTTCACAAAAATCCAAAAAGTTAGACCCTAGAAGTAAACAAGGTATTTTCGTAGGGTATGATAAAAATAGTCCAGCATATCTAGTATACTACCCTGACATTAACAAGGTAGAGCGCGTAAGATGCGTTAAGTTCTTCAGGGAGGGTAGCAAGGAGCTGCCAGAATTAGATGATGAAGAACTTGCACCTCAGATAGAAAAATCGCATGAAAGAAACCCCAAAACAACTAACGAAGACATTAGTGCTCCAGAGACATCTAGAGAATCAAGATACCCCACTAGGATAAGAAGTAAGCCTAAATATCTTGATGAGTATGTGACAGAGGAAGTTTCAGGGGAGGATACTGTCTCATATACCGTAGATTATTGCTATAGAGTATCCAACATCCCAACGACCTATTCCCAAGCAATAAGCTCCAATGAGAAAGTAAAATGGCAAAAAGCCATGAATGATGAAATGAAAGCGTTAATTGACAATGATACGTTTGAACTTGTTCCACCCCCAACAAATAGAGACATAGTGGGGGGAAATGGGTATACACTGTAAAAGTAGGGCAACATGAAGAAGAGACCCATAAAGCCCGTTATGTAGCAAAGGGATACTCGCAGACTCCCGGTATTGACTACAACGAAACCTTTTCACCAACTGCACGCATGAGTTCTATCCGTGTATTGCTTCAACACGCTGTTCAAAACAACATGTTATTGCATCAGATGGATGTAAAAACAGCTTATCTTAACGCCCCAATAGACTGCAAAATTTATATGCATCAACCCGAAGGATATGAGGAAGTAGATAAAAATGGTGAAAAATTAGTGTACAGGCTGAAAAAGTCTTTGTATGGATTAAAACAAAGTGGTAGGAATTGGAATAACGTATTGCATGAACACTTAATAGGGAAAGCTTTCAAACAATCACTAGTTGACCCATGCGTTTACACGCGATTTGAAGGAACAGATGTTACTATTCTAATAGTATGGGTAGATGATATTATCATTGCTGCAAACAATGACACATTAATGCAGAGTGTCAAGAAAATCTTAAGCGACCGTTTCAAGATGAAAGATTTAGGAATATTGTCCTGGTTCTTAGGGACTGAATTCAAATGCTCAGAAAGTGAAATAACACTGAGTCAAAGGCAATATATTATTAAGTTACTAACAAAATTTGGCATGTCGGAGTGTAAACCCAAACCCACTCCATCATCTTCCGATACAAATAAAATGTCGCATGATCAATCGCCTCAGTTAGAAGATCCGAGTCTTTACAGACAAATTGTCGGTAGTCTTATATATGTTATGACAGGAACAAGACCTGATCTGTGTTTTATTGTAACAAAGCTGTCACAAAAGATGGCCAAACCGACACAAGCAAACCTAATAGAGGCAAAGCATGTTCTCAGATACTTACAGGATACAATAGATCAGACAATTACATTTAGAAAATGTGAAAGTGTTTTAAAATTGGTTGGTTTTTCTGATTCTGATTGGGCTGCCGATGCAGATGACAGGCGTAGTATTTCAGGCTACGGTTTCAAGTTGAGTGAAAACGGTGGTTTGATTTCTTGGAGGAGTAAGAAGCAATCTACAGTTGCTTTGTCAACTTGTGAGGCTGAGTATATGGCATTGACTGAAGCTATTCAGGAAGCAAAATTTTTGAAACAGTTGTGTGTTGATTTGCGTATTTGTAAGGAAGGCGACTGTGTTTTGTTGAATGTTGACAATCAGGGCGCAATTAACTTAGCAAAGAACCCTATGCACCACAAAAGGTCTAAGCACATAGATATTAGATATCACTTTATTAGAAGTGAAATAAGGGCTGGTAAAATAGAAATTATGTACGTAGCAACACATGAAAATGGTCACCTTGGTCACCTTTCTCCGCTTTGTCCTGCTCGGGTAGCGGGTCTTTGCCGGAGACCCAGTTCTATGAGACTTCTCCAGGCTGCTCTGTCCTGGGTATCCTCTTCTTTGACACCACATAGCTGCATGTCTCTCCTGATGGTATCCTTCCACCGATGCTTTGGGCGTCCTCGTTTCCGTCTCCCCTCCATTTGCATCTCATAAACTCTCCGAATGTCTACATCTTCTTCACGCCGGCATACATGTCCGAACCACTGCAGTCTTTTTCTTCTCATCAATTTTAGTATACTCATGACATTCGCTTCTTCTCATCAATTTTAGTATACTCATGACATTCGCTTCTTCTCTTATGCTTTCATTTGTTCTGTGCTCCTCCAGGCTGACTCCAAGACAATAGCGTATCATTCTCATCTCGCATACACTGATCTTCTCTGCTAGGTAGTCTGTAACAGGCCATGTTTCATTCCCATACAGAAGCACTGGGCGTATCACGGTTCTGTAGATGAGGATCTTCAGTTTCTTCGGCATCTTCTTATCACAGAGCACTCCCGTTAACTCTCTCCATTTATTCCATGCCCGGCTAATCCGTAGTTCAACCTCGGTCTTGCAACTGCCATCCTGATGGATGGTGGTCCCGAGGTACTTAAATGTCTCGCACTTTGGTAGATCTGTATTTCCGGGTCCAGCATATTCTCTTAGCTTGATGTTTCCTATGCAGCCACTCGGTGGGAGGTACTCCGTCTTGGCTCTACTAACTTTCAAGCCAACATCTTCTAATATTCTTCTCCACTCTTCTAGTCTTCCTTCCAGATGTTCTCTCTTCTCATCACACAAGACCAAATCATCTGCAAACATCATACTCCAAGGTGTGTCTTCTGTCGTGTCATCCGAGATTACATCCATAATGATAATAAAGAGTAGGGGGCTTAGTGCCGAGCCTTGATGTAACCCGACCTCTACTTGAATTTTCTCAGTCTCACCAACGTTCGTTGCGACACTAGTGGTGAGCGCTTATACATATCTTTGATGGTTTCAATATAGGCCTCCGGGACTTGACGCTTCCTTAGACAGTACCATATTAGCTCCCTCGGGATTGTATCATATGCCTTTTCAAGGTCCACGAAAACCATATGTAGCTCTTTGTTGAATTCTCTATACTTCTCTTGCAGCATCCGCAGACAGAACATCGGCTCAGTGGTTGATTTTCCGCGTTGGAATCCATATTGGTTGTCCTTTATCTTCACTATTTCTCTCAGTCTCGCCTCTATCACTGTCTCAAATAATTTCAGTGAGTGGCAGAGGAGTTTAATGCCTCGATAGTTTCCACAGCTTAGGGGATCACCTTTCTGTTTGTAAAGGGGCACTATTCTGCTTGTTCTCCATTCTTCTGGTATTCCTGTCTTCATTATTTCTCTGAAGCATGATGTCATCCACTCTGTTCCTGTGTTTCCCAATTTCTTCACTAGTTCGATGGGGAGCTCATCCGGTCCTCTTGCTTTATTGTTCTTCATCTTCTTGAGTTGTCTTCTCACTTCATCCTCCGTAATCTCTGGTACTGGCCCATGGACTGGTTCAAGATGGTCAAGTTCTTTCCTGTTGTTCTTCGTGTTCAAAAGTCTATCAAAATATTTCCTCCATCGCTCCTTGATTTTCTCATCTTCGCTCACGATCTTTCCCTGCTCATCCTTGACAAAAGTAATCTTGTCAATGTCCTTTGCTCTTCTCTGTCTAGTTTTTGCTAACTTGTAGATTCTTTTCGGTCCGTTTTGCTCCAGATCTTTGTATAGTTGTTCCTGACCTTTCTCTCTAACAATCGCACACTTTTCTTTACTGATCTTATTCATTTCTCTCAGAGTCTCCCTGTCTTCCTCCAAACCAGATCTCTTCCATATCTTAAAAGCTTCTTTCTTATTCTTCACAGCCTCTTGTACTTCTTCATTCCACCACCAGGATTCTTTTTCTATGTATTTCCCACCTCTACTAACTCCCAGTGTCTCCTTTGCTGCTTCTAGTATATTGGGGTATGTTTCATTCCATTTCCACTCTCCCACCATGCTTTGTTCCATTAGCATTTCTGTGATCTTACTTTCCAGCTCATCTCCTTCCTCATTAGGTAGTTTCCACCAGTTGATCTTCTTCGATCTCTCTCTTCTTATTCTTCTCCTCTTCTTGATCTTATAATCCATCACAACGAGTCTATGCTGCAGTGCAATTTCCTCACCAGGGATAACCTTACAATTTTAACATCGCCTAGGTCATCTCTCCTTATCATGATGAAATCTATCACGGTCTGGCTAAGGCCACTTTTGTATGTAGGTGTTTCCATCCCTCTGTGTGAAGAATGTGTTTACCACTGAGGTCCTTGCTCCTTGCATAGTCTAAGATCTTATCTCTTCTTCATTTCTTCTTCCGATTGACTTTCCTCCATGCCATCTCTCAAATCCCTCTACTCTCTTCCGATGTGCCCATTGAGATCTCCTGCCACGATCAGCTGTTCTGTTTCCTTCACATTGGTGGTCACTTCTTCAAGTTGGTTCCAAAATCTCTGCTTCGTCTTCTTCACAACCTTGCTGAGGTGCATAGGCAGTCACGATGTTGAACGTCTTGTCAGGTGTTACCAGTTTCATAGTTATGATTCTATCGGACTTTCTCTGGGTCTCTATCACTTTATCTTGCCATTCCTCACTCAGGCATATAGCCACTCCATTCTTTTTTCCCCTCCGCTGTAGTACAGCTTGTAGCTCTCCGATGTTTCTTGCCTTCCCTCCTGATTTCCCACCAGTCCATCTTGTCTCTTGTAAGCATAGTATGTCGATCCTCCTCCTCTTCATCACGTCTGCTATTTCTCTGCTCTTTCCAGTCAGCGTCCCGATGTTTAGGGTCGCAACTCTCAAGTTCTTCTGTCTCTTCTGTCTGTTCTGTCTCGCTTGCATTCTTTTCACAGCGTCAAGACAGTAGTGCCGCTGCGCATCGCTTACGGGGTATGCCCTAGCATTGTCTTCTCTTCTGATTGTCTCCGGCATATTATCATGTGGCATATTCTTTTAGGACCGGATGCTCTTCCTGACATCCACCCTCTGTGTTTATCGGGCTTGGGACGGATTGATGTCGATCCGTCGGCATCCTGTCTGCTGCATTGACTTGTCCAGCATCCAGGCCACATTGTAGCAACACATGAAAGTGTGGCTGATATATTTACGAAAGCTGTAAGTAAGATTAAATTAAGTAGATTCAAAACATTTATAACTGGTAAATAGATATTAATTTGTTAATTTAGTTAATGAGCAAGTGGGGGAGTTGAGTCATGCTCATAAACCACAAAAACATGTTAAGGAAATAGAATGTGTGCAGTTTAGTTTATTAATGTATCCGTTCCCACACGGCTAAGAGCCAAGGAACAGTTATTGACGTTAGTTAAATTTCCTTATATACCATATATAGCGTAAACAGAGGAACTACTCCTGCCAATAATAATATTTTGTTGTTTGTAATAAATAGTATAAATACTGCTTTGTAAAATAATAAAAATCAGTTCGATCATTAAGTTCACTCGTGGTTGTTACTAAAAGGTATAGATTATACTAAGAAAGTGATATGGCGAGTAACACGAACTCAACAAATAAAAACCAGAGAATCCTTAATATTATCATAATATGCCAGGGTTACCAATTTTCAAATATATTAAATCAACATATGAGATGGATACTCTCAGAATAACGAGAAAGTGGAAATTATTCGCACGCAAGGAAATATCGACATTGGAGCAACTACACTTCCTACACATCTTCAAACAACAGCAAATCCTACCGAACAGTATCAACTACCAACCACCAATAAAAACGAATTATGCCCAACAAATAGCACAATCAAACGACCGACGTATGCTGAATATCCTCATATCTGACGCTCACAACCGCTTACGAATCTACAGACGAAAATCAAACCAACATCGAGAAACTGTTACGAATCACATCACAAAGGCAGATGCCAAATCCATTTAGGAAACCATCAAAGAAACAACAAACGCGTATCAAACAAAACGACACAACGAACTCCAAGGGAAACTACAAAAATCGAGATCATTTAAGGAAATTAACACCAACAGGCATTCATGGGTCAAGAACATATCAAGCAAACCACTCACCTAACAGCAGACTAAAATTTTAAGCAAAGGCTTAAATTACAACATTAAAGACGCCGACAAACTAGACTTCGTTGCCGATCTAGAATCCACACTGAAATTCACCAACTTAAGTGATAAAATCAAAGAGGACATTCGCCACAAAGTAACAACAAACCTCTGCCTCAAAAGACCAGTCACACTTAACAACGAAGAACAAAAAGCTATCACAAACTTACAGAATGAGGAAGACATAGTCATACTACCAGCCCACAAAGGACGAAAACTGTAATCATGGACAAATTAGACTACATCAACAAAGCGAGGACCCTCTTACAAGACAACAACATGTATGAACCTCTACAAACAGACCCCAACAAAACAACTACCAACCGCATCAGCAAGAAATTAAAACAAACTAAAAGACAAAAATAAAATTAACGAACCGTCTACAAAAGAATCTGACCCAACAACTCCTCCACCCCAAATTCTATGGACTACCAAAATTCACAAAGAAAACAACCCACTATGACCAATTGTATCTCTTCCTGGATCACCTATTATGAACTATCAAAATATCTTTCTAATATTCTGCACCCACTACTCAAACCATCACATCATACTATCAAAAATGCCACCACTTTCCTCACCAATATTAAAAATGTAAAACTAAAACCAAACGAAATCATGATATCTTATGATGTAGTGTCAGTTTTCACATCCATACCACTAAACATAGCCAAACAAGTCACAAACGAATTACTTACTAACAACAACTCGTGGAAAATCACAACCGAAGTAGACCAAGACAATATCATCGACCTGCTCGAGCTCTGCCTCTCCACTGAATTCACCTTCCAAAATTCATATTACCGACAGATCTCAGGAACACCAATGGGTTCTCCTTTATCCACCTTCCTTGCAGAAGCTGTTATGCAACACCTTGAAGAGATCAGGGAAGTATTTTCAAAAACATGGAAGCAATGGCAGATTTTGTCAAAACTTCCACTTTGGAAATTATTTTTAATATTCACTCCCTCCTGATTTCTAATAGTGTTTACAAATGACGACCCGTGAAACAATCATGATACCTAAAGCAAAGTGTTTTCAACAAAAAGAAAATTCATTGCCATTGTGATTTACAGAATACAAACAAATTATTATGAAGTAATTCTACAGTAAAGAAACTATTTTTTTTGAATAACAAATAACAGTCTTATCAATAGTGAAAATAGAATGAAATTCTAGCATACTGGCTACAGGTAATAAAAGTATCCTGAACTTGGTGGGCTACATTTCAGATTTATGAATATTAAAAAATCACGACTAGTGTAAGTATTCAATAATAAATATCCAAAGTCAACTTTTGTTTGTAATGGCTTATTATTGTATTTTTGAAAAGTTAAAGCATTATTTCACCCAACCGCTTCAATAATTGCCTCAATTGAAACAGATACTTCACTCGCAGCTAAAATGATGCTGCTCTTGTGCTGTGGCCAGAAAATTCATTTTTTTGGCAAGCTTTAAAGTTTTTTCAAGCCATCTTGTGCTGTCCATAAATGTTTGGAATTTCCTTTAATAGTTTTTTTTTAATGAACTCAGTGAGGAGTTTGAACAGGTGAAGTGTTTCATCTGGATCATATTTTTTTAATTATTAATGTTTTTAAATGTTTTCCGGCCGAGATATTTTTATAAGAATATATACTTATTAAAATCCTAAGATATGTTGTCTATTGATAACGCTTTAAGGGTTTGGCACCTCTGAGCAGAAATATGTGCTAACATCATGGTCAATTTATGTGTTAGCTTTTTCAGTGTCAAGGTTTTATTTGACTGAAATTTTTTTAAATAGTCTCCCACTAATTGTACATCCCAAATTCTAGTGTACCTTGGTAGTAATTGGCTATTTTTGAAAATTGCTTCGATGAATCTGCAAACCAATGAGTGTGTCCCAAAACTAATACAATCTGACAAAATTATTATGGATGATACCGCACTCCTTGTATCGAATCCATTTTGCATAATAATAGTTGGTTGCATTGAGTTATTTTTTTTCCGTTTTGCAACCAATGAACAATGTTTCCCCTCCAACGAAATTCAGCGTACAATCAAACATCTTTACAATCACATTTTCTTTTAGGAAATTACTTAATATGAGCTTCAGAATAGTTAACAATGTAGAGTGAATTGTTATCATTTCTTGCATATAAATTGTTTTTTGATTTATTCAACAGTTTCTTTGACAACATATAACCATCAGTAATAATAATCAGGAATACAGTTCACTTTACCCCTAAAATAATCAAAAAGTAAGTGACTGCAAACATGAACGTATTCAGATTCGCGTAATAACAGTTGATTGCGTTGAGTTATTTCTTTCCGATTTTGCAGCCAATGGACAATATTTTCCCTCCATCGAAAATCATCATATAACTAGAAATTTTTACAATCACTTTTTGCATTAGGAAATTTCCTATTATGAACTTCACAATAGTTAATCATGTAGATTGAATTTTTATCGTTTCTTACATGTAAATTGCTTCTTGATGTATTGAACAGTTTCTTTGACATCATATAACTAGAACTTTGGGTAATAACAGTTGATGGCGTTGAGTTATTTCTTTCCGATTTTGTAACCAATGAACAATATTTCCTCTCCAAAGAAAATCATCAAATAACCGAAGAGTTTTAGAATCACATTTTGTATTAGGAAATTTCTTATGATGAACTAGGTAGAGACAATTATTATTTTTTGCAAGAAAATTGTTTCTTGATGTATTTAATAGTTTCTTTGACATCATTAATAATAAGTTAAAATGTTTTTCATACTTACAAAATCCTTTTATTCAGTGTTTTTTGTTAAGCTTCAAAAAATTCACATTTCTTATCTTTTTATCTTTAAAACAATTCATATTTTTTTCTTTTTTTTTTTAAAAAATTCAAATTTCTTACCTTTTATTATATAATAATACATTTCCTTTATTCTCTCATGACACTCCATGATTTGTGTATTTATATGCTCATCTTCTCTCTCATTACATGTCATGTCATGAAATTTTGAATTTCAGAGCCTTGAAAATGCCATTTTCAGCATTTTAGAGCAATACAAAATGTATTTTGTGGGCATCATTTATGCGTGAAAACAACACATTTTGCTTACGCTTTTTTCACAAAAAAAATGAAGTGAACAATACTTGAATGTTTTACCAAATATTTAGGCTTATTTAGGTTCGAAAACAGATATAGTCTTTAAAAATTTCTATCAAGTTGTCACGCATAGACCCCCCTAGAGACCCCCATTGAAACCTCTATGTAATGAGTTAAGTTAGAAATTTGGTACTACAAGTGACAGTTCATAGATATAGAAAAGCTCAGACTTCAAACCATGCAAGTTTATTGTAACCCTTTCCTTATCTCCACATCAGTGCCAGCAAATTCACTTTTTGAGAAAAAACTCAAAATTTTTTTCTCCCAAAGATTAAGCAAAAATTATCAGAGTGAAAATTTGCAGTTAACGACAGCTTAATGCCATAAATGTTTATTAGGCATTTCACTGGACTCTTATCTTCTGTAAGTATATGCAAGGTGTGCTATATAGCAATCACTAGTAGCATTGTATTTGCAAATACAAACAGAATGTAACCAACATGTCTTTAATTATATAATTACATGAATGTTAAAATTGGTTCATGTGTCATGCTTACTGGTTATGATAAATATCTTTTCATATGATCAAAGCTTGTTTAAATGTAAATCTGAAATAATTTAGTTTAAAAATTATAATGATCATCAGAAAAATTACCTAGTGATCATGAAAGATACTTTGCTGTTTTGCCAAATTTCGAGGTTTATCTGCATACATAGAAAGACATTTTTACTTTATAGAAAATGCTTTTCATACATCAATAGCCCTTTGGAATTTATGGCAAACAATCTGGTATGAGCCGTAGATTAACACACCTTTACATCTCTACATGAGGTGTTCAGTTAGAAAAGGTGACAATATGTGACATGGGATAACATTTCATGTATGTGAAATACTCAGGTTTAATACCATTCCAGTCAAATTGTCAAAATAAAAAGCTTCATGGATCAGAAGACTCAAAATCACAGGTTATAGTAAACAGCTTCTCATGTAATAAATGTTAGTTTTCTCAAATCTTAAACAATATGTAGTATAACTGTCCAATGATTGAATGATCAATGATCATAAAATGAAAAGCCCCAAACATTTGTTTATGATAAAGTAAATAATAGTATGGCGCCTTATGGCTACAGATTTTTTGTCCATTGAAATATATTTGCAGGAATGTAGGATTTCGCTGCCATATAACGGACACGATTCCCCAAGCACTAAAGAAATCATAGCTAAAAGTCCTTCAGCAACAACAATTTTAGAAGCATCAATCTGCTTACCATACGCCATATAGACAAATCGCATCACACACTGGCATAAATTGACTTTGATATATTACATTCATGCATACACTTCACTTGTCCTTTACTTACGATTTTCGATGTAAATTTCTGCTGATAAAACTCAAAACAATGTTGGCTTTCTTTTGAACATTAATGACTGAAATGTCGCTCGCGAGATCGTCTTTGCCAAGCATTTGCAATTTATCCATAAATTTTTCACCCTCTTGAAAAAATTCACAGTTTGGACAGCAGCATTCATGTCAATATATGAATTTGTAAAAGATTTTCATAAATTCCATCTGATTGTAGTTTAGTTTCTATCATGCTTATAAAAATTACTATGAAACGATCAAACATTCAATTCAGACAGTGAGCTTGACTATGTTAGTTCAGTTGGCTATCAGTCGAAATCCGTCAAACCAATCACAATAAAACAAAAATTCAAATGAACCAATTGTAAGATAGCAATTGGACTCCCTTATACGTCCGGCCACCCCTCTTATCAATTGAGACCATTGCAGACTGTCCACTGATCTGGCCACTGACCAATAAAATAAGCGTTTTTGGCGTTCATAGACTCCTTTATCCGTCGAACCAGTCAAGCCACCCCGCTTATCAGTCGGTTATTCCAGGTCAATTAAAATTCAACTTATCTGGTTACCAACAAGATATTCATTGGATTAGTCATTAGTTTTCAATAATAAATAAAGCTGGATTTTTATCACGAAGTAAATGCGATAATAAAGTAAGAATTAATGAATTTTTAATTAATATGAATAGGTAAATTTTGAATTTCAAACATCAGTCGCGCGACGGATTTGACATACTCTAGATCTGCCCCTGCACACGAATACGATCTTCTGGAAAAAGATATCAAAACTGTTGAATCTTTGGAAAAGGGTTTTTCAAACAATACATATGTTCTTTCCAAACCAGGATGGCTCAATGATGAGGTTATAAATTGTTACCTTCTATTGCTAACAAAAAACACGGAAAAGTTTGGATTGCGTAGTTTTGCATTCAGGACACAATTTATGTCAAAACTTCGATCCGTATGCCAGCCAAATAATAAAGAGTGCTTTCATGAAATGTTAAGGAGGCACTACCGAGGTGTTTTGTTTCATCCGTGTTTTACTTCAAAGAACTTTGCCGAAAAAGCGTTATAGAATGAACTTATATGATCATAGTCCAAATATTTTTTTGATAAACGCATTGCGACCAATAATTGCTAATGAGCTGTACATTAATGAACTCCTTTTCATTTCAAAAACAATATTTCCTCGTGACGTTTGATGTTGTCAAATACTAACGCCTTACAAGCAAAATGTCGGTCGTCTCATAACTCTTAAATGTTTTTAAAATGGGGAAATACCAAGACAGTTCCAATGGAAACATAATGATAACATTGTTTCATTAAATCAAACTTATAGCTTCACATTGGAATATCATAATTGTGGTGAGTACGTTTGTTTTTTTTTCAACGACAAGCAACACATGTCACAAATACTTGTATTGTTAGGGCTTTATGAAAAATCAATTAGTAAAGAAACTGACTGTCTTGCATATACGTTGATGCGCAACTGGCTGCTCTAATGCACTGTTGACGCATAAATGTCAGACAAGCAACTGGCTGCTCTTATGCGCCATTGCTGCATTGTCAGACAATGCAACTGGCTGCTTTAATGGGCTGTTGCTGCATTAATTTCAGACAACGCAACTGGTTGCTTTAATGCGCTGAGAGGTTTCTCGTATTATATCATGAGAAAATGCTGTCCATTTCGGAATTGCACCACCCTATCGTGGTGTGGTTCCTAGGCATGCTGATGAGCTCTGATATTGGGCGAAACAGTCACATTCCTAATAGAATAGGAAAGAATGATATAGATTATATTCAGTCTCGAATCATCGTATCGTTACACTATTTTGTATTAGCACTTCACTATGATGAGTCATTTCTACGATAGGAGTGAAGTAAGCTACTTTTAAAAGCAAATTAGAGCTCTGTCTCTTATCCTAATATATTGATTTGCGCACGAATTTTATCTTTCTGGTAAGATAGCTATATTAACTTGTCTAAAGGCGTTGGAAGGGCAACAAAAGTCAGAAAGTGGGGACATCCTAGAATATATTCGTACCAGTTGGAAAATTGTATGTTGTATGTATGTTACATTTTCCTGTCAATGTCAAGTATTCTGACTTTGGAATTACTTTTTATCAGCAAGAAAATAAAACATTCTACCTTTTGTTAGTTTCTTCTACAAAAATATGAGCAACAGCCTACTCGGATCAGTTTAGAGATCATTTTCATGTTTTTAGAAGACAAAACTCTTACCAAAATTCTGTAACTTCCTATCAGAGAACACAACTGAAATTTTCTTCTGGCAGTTTGAAATCTTCAAAGGAGTGGCTTTGCTTTGCTGCCTTTTCTCTTCATTTCACCAATTAGGAATGCAATTGGTCCATCATAAAGAAGTAGTAATGTGATTGGTCCATCAAAAGAGATGCAAATTAAGAAGCCAGTGTTAATATCATGCATCATAAATTGTCATTCACTTTTGTTGAGTGTACCGTGGTAAGTCTTTAATTGGCAGTGTGCAAGGAAAAATGTAAGTGAACAATCCTTTATAGCAACTAGATTGTTTCAATAATTTTTCCCAAAGTAAAATAAGTACATATATTTAGACACAACCATATGCATATTTTGATTGTTTTTATGCTTGGGATGGCCTTTTTCTCTTCCAAAAGTTCTATAGATTAATATGCTGCATCACATGGTTACTAAAGCATAAATATTTAATCTTTCTCCAGAGGCAAACTATAACGATATTTCTTATTGTATTTATGATTCTATTTTTATATCATGTGTCACTTGCTTTGAACGTCCGTTTGCTCTTGTAAAGGCATGAGCATCGCCGCGTTTACGCATCTCGGTGCCCAAGGCATTTTCTTATCGCGGTACCCCATGACGCACTGTTACTACCTTTTTGCATGAATCGCGGGGCACATGGCATATTTACCACTGTGCGATATCGGCGCTGGTCATAAGTTTGTTCACGCTGTACAGCTAATGATAAACATTACCTTCTATTTAGAAATGGCTGAAAAAGAAGCACGAAATGGTAAAAAGATAAGTAACATTTTTTGCAAAGTTTCTTAGTATCTGCATGTGAAAAGAAATATTGCAACTTGTCTTTATGGCAAAGTGTGAAATGTTCAACAGTAGTTGATACAATTTTCTTAAATCACCATCAACCTTGCTTGAAGGGCAATGGCAATGAAATTTTTTTTTCCATACGTTTATCATAGATAGCTATGGAATACTTAATTTTGTGTTTCTGTATCTCTTTTAAATTTTGTTGTCGAGAAAATTTGACAAAGTTGAATCCTTATCCGCCATTTTTGAAAAAAAGCTTTGCTAAATTATGTCAGAATACATTACTGACGTCATTGGCTGGTATCACTGAATGACACAATATAACATAATAGTATTTTATAAAATATAGCACATTTGTTCACTGGAATTTTAAAACAAAAACAACAGTCGGCGGTTGTTAAGATTAAAAAGTTGTGTAGTATATCACGCTTATATACTTTTCCAATATTTAGTCGTTATAAGACGTAGAAACGTTTATTTTAGCAGATCTTACAACGAGGCTTTCGCGACATACCAAGTGTAAGCCCAGACAACAATAAGCGTGTTTTGTACACTGAACATTTCGTGCAGTAGAAATATTTCCTTTTCCCATATTAGAAACCTGTGACCAACAAAGAGTTTAAGTTTAATTTATTATTTCTATATATGAGTCTGCGAGATTATGTAGTTTTATATAGGTGATAAGCTCTAAGCCGCTATGTTTTGTTCTTGACTGTACAGTTTCGTTTATCCATAAATTTTACGTGCGTGTTTGCGTGCACAATGTAGAAGTACACTTTTCTATTAACTTTATAACTTATGAATGAATACAAGTTTTGGGCGGATCACTCATGCATTTTGATTTTGCGCAGTTCGTGACAATCCTTCGACAATGTATGGCATCGCAATTGCAGACCATAACAAAGAACATCAAAGAGCGTCTGTCTAAGATTAAATTTACGGTATATCGTAATAACATGCGTATTTAAAATGTGTATAACGTCCGTCTGGTGAAGCGAAGCGTTTTCGCATGCCAGCATAAACACAAGCAGGAAATGGTCTTCGATGTTTATTCCCTAAAATTTGAAAAATCCACCTAGAACATCTTTGATATGCGACTAATCGATACAGCTTGTGTATTCTCTCCAGATCCTCATCAGACAGGGGACAGTTTTCTTCAAGATTCCGACACACATCTATCTTTAACACACTTTCTGACAGCATATTGTCCCTAAATTCTTGGTGAGTTGTCAAGCATTACTCTCCTTGAGTTTCTGTTTGGCCTAGCAAAGCCTCATACTCATCGTATTCAAGCGCTTTTTCATGGCAACAAAGACACTCGATTGCCTTTTTCGACAAAGTACAATGTCCAAACTTACACCAACTAAGAGTTTGAAGGCGGCAAGTATTTGCTCATTCAAATTCAGCATCTATTTCATCCTCCGACGAGGACAAGTCGCTCTGCTCACTCTCCTGTTTGGAACCGCTTTCTTCGCTTGTTTCAGCCTTCATTTCAGGTTCATATTGATAGGGCAGAACCTCACTTGGTTCATTTTCGTGTATGTCATCCATTACAGCAAAAAAACCCCGTAAAATACGCTTTAAATGTGTTGTAACGCCGTAAATCACAAAGTATATTGTATTGTTGTTTTCACTGCTCACCAGCCAATGACGTCACTACCCTCGAGATAATTTTATCAAAATTTTATCCAAGATGGCGACATTTATAAAACTTTTGCTGCAAATATCTCAGCAACAAAATATTTTTGAAAAATTTTTTTGCTATTTTAGTTGTTAGACATCACAAAGGTTCAAATATAAGCTATAAATTTTTCGTTAATGTCCTTTAAACGAGCTTATGAGAAAGAATAGTCTCAAAAGAATTGTGTTTATTAACATGAATGTTGTCCAATCAGTTTAATGTGTGTTCTTTGTTTCAGATAAGCAAAACAAACGAGAGAGAGGGGATGAAGGTGAGCCAGTTCTTCAGAATAGATATAGAATTTCAGAAATGTTAATAGCTAAAAACATTTGCATGCAGCTGACTCAAACCTACATAAAATATCTCTTTTATTATGAATCGTCTTAAAGGAGTAGTCAGACCTTAACACAACTTTCACTCATATGAAAGTGTATATTGTTCTTACATCTCTCGCAAAATCCTAGGTTTCCAATTCAAATTTAACTCCAGAAATAATGCCTTAAATGTGTGTATTTTTGCCTCTTCTTCGATCGCCATTGTGTACTTGCAAGCGAAGCCGCAGTCCAGCAGTGGTTTTTCGTCGTTACATCACTGCGCGGTGATCGTTGTCAACATTGGACAAAATATACTAGCAAAACTAGAAATTGCGCATAAGCATATTCATAGTTGCATTTTATTTTCTAAGTTTTTAAATTAATTTGCGCAATGGATACGGATAACTCAAACGATTCCTCTAGTAATTATTCTAGAAGCAGTGTTTCACACTACAAATAAATGATTAACGATCAAAACATGATTCAACCATATGCTTATGAGCCGATTAAAACAGACTCTAGCAACGAGCCTATGCACGACTTCGACGAAGTTGCCGCAGCACCATCGACTGAATCTGTATCGGAACGCAACAGACTTCAGGATAAATTCAGGTAAATACTATTATTTTACTCGTTTCTGCAATTTATGTCGTTTTTGTTTTTACATGTTTCATCGCACGAATTACGCTGCCGAATTATGTTATGCGTATGTCAAATATCACATTACACTTGAGTTTTCAACCTTTAAATATTTTGATATAAAATGATTTAGTTGCTGTTTTACCTGAATAGGTGCACATGTAGCCATTGTGGAAGAATGTGTTTGTTGCAAAGAAATTTCAGCTGTTGTAACAATGAATGAAGACTCAGCACAATTTGAGGGAATAGATCCTCCAGACTGTATTACAGATAATCCTGTTTTTCGAAATCTTTGTTTAAATTATTGGGTATTATACTGGCATAGAGTGAGTACAAACAACACTATGGTTCAAGAGCTGAAGAAGGACCTGAACACAAAGACAAAGACATGTGGCTTACAGGTAACTGGTTCGATGGTGTTGGAATGTATTGCAGGGAAATCAGAGTACCACTACCATCTTGCGCTGTTAGCTGCATTAGAGCACATTTCCCACCACCAGGTCTAGAAGAGGACTTTGTCTTTGAGGGTTTTAAATTTGCTGATGAATAATAATGGTAATGTAAACTATTATAGCCATATTTATAAGTATTGTTAATGATGAATTACTAATAAATGAAAATATAAATTGGATTTAGTAAATGAACAATAAATACAAATTATAATGGCCCCTCTGAAACCAATACTTTATTTGTGCTATGCAAGGATTTTGGTGTACATTATTGAAAAGTGCCTTAGCTAATGAATTTGCATAGCAAAACAAAAAATTGGGCTACTTTACTATTAGAGATTCTCTTATTATTAATTATAAATATTGATATATACATAAATATTTTTGGGGACTATTTACCCATTCTTGATTTATGCTTGTAAAACACTTTCTTTGTTTGGCTTTTCTATAGATGCAATATTTCTTGGAATGTTTGCTGGTAAAGAAAGCTTGTTATGTACATTTTTTACATTAAAACAACAGACATCTTCCATCATACCTTGCACAAAAGAATATGACTTACTCGCCATAATTGGCTTGGCTACCTAATTTTTTCGCCCTTTTGGGAACACGATATTGTTTCCCTTGCTGCTTTCCACATTGAACTAGTGCTTGTTTTCTGCCATGTTTACATTGTGGTCTATCACTGCCAATTTGGTTCTTGCAAGCATACCTTTGTACCTAAAAGTGAAGACGTTGGGGAAGTATTTTAGGAGAAGTGAGTGGTAAACTTGCATATGCTCCATATTGGAGGACTCTCTAGGCTCATTATTACACTGTTCTAACAAGCTCCACACTTCCTACATAGAATATATATTAAAACATCTAATACATAAAGATAAAAGTTTCTCCAAAAAAATGGATTACAATCTTTTAATCCATGCCTGGATTACAAATTTTCAAACTTAAAACATCTAAGTATATAATGCAAGGACAACAGTGTTTAAATTTTGTGAATTACAAAGAACAGTACCTGTCGTCGTGCAATTTTTCTCTTGTTTGGGCTCTATTGCTTGACAACTCATTCCGGTTTCCATTTCACTTAATGGAAATATGGACGGAAACTACCAGGTTTTAACGTCTTCTTTGCTTTCATGTTAAATAGCTCTTTTAAGGAATTTTGAAAACAATCAGGCGTAAAATGCGCGCTGCAAACGTAACATGAATTTGTTTTCTAACAAGCTCCACACTTCCTAAATAGAATATATATTAAAACATCTAATACATAAAAGATAAAAGTTTCTCCGAAAAAAAAAAGGATTACAAATCGTTTAAATCCATGCCTGGATTACAAATGTTCAAACTTAAAACATCTAAGTATATAATGCAAGGGCAACGGTGTTTAAATTTTGTGAATTACAAAGAACAGTACCTGTCGTCGTGCAATTTTTTCTCTTGTTTGGGCTCTATTGCTTGACAACTCACATTCCGGTTTCCATTTTACGAATGGAAATATGGACTGTAAACTACCAGGTTTTAGCGTCTTCTTTGCTTTCATGTTAAATAGCTCTTTTAAGAAATTTTGAAAACAATCAGGCGTAAAATGCGCGCTGCAAACGTAACATGAATTTGCTTTAGGTAGGTTTTCGCGTCTGACACGACTTAGCCACATTCGAGGAAGATTTTTGTTGTTTGGCAATCGGTGAAATGATATTTTGCTACCTTTGGTTTTCTTCCAACAATTGTTACATCCTGGTACCATACAGTAGGGCATTTTTACAATTGTATTAAAATAAAGTGAAACAATTGTGTCTTTAAATCTGTGTTTGTATTGTGATTTGTATTTAAGTATACTCGCCAAACCGTGCAGTGACGTAACGACGAAAAACCGCTGCTGGACTGCGGCTTCGCTTGCATGTACACAATGGCGATCAAACAAGAGGCAAAAATACACACATTTAAGGCATTATATCTCAAGTTAAATTTGAATTGGAAACCTAGGATTTCGCGAGAGAGGTAAGAACAATATACACTTTCATATGAGTGAAAGTTGTGTTAAGGTCTGACTACTCCTTTAATAAGAAGAAGCAAATCAAAAAAAGCAAAAAGGTTTGTTGCATAATTTTTACAATATATCTACTATAAGTGTTTTTTGTACTTGTGCTTAACATAGTATTTATACATGTATGCGAATGCCAATGAATATAGTATAAAAAGCAGCTCCGCAACACTGTAAAATTCAATCTCGCTTTTTATAACAACCATCTAAATGCATTTTGCGAAATGCAAAACTAAGTATTTGTAATGCAGTATTTGTTTTGTTTTGCAATTCTGAGACATGTTTTTTTGTATTTTGTTGGACATGGAAAATCTCTAATGTCTTAATCGTTCGCAACTTTTTAGCATATGTTGAAAAGCTAGAAGAAATCAGTAAGCTTAAACTAATGACACACTTGTTCACACAAATTATATGTTTATTTTATTACTTTATTATTTCAGAATGTAACAGATGCAGTGAGGTGGGGCACGCCCCTGATGATTGCCCTACCAAAAACAGGCGAGGAAGGCGGGGTAGCGGGAGAGGCCGCGGCGGACGGCGTGGTCGTTGCCAAGGGCGTGGGCGTGAGCCGAGTAATCATAAATATTTTTACAATGTAAAACGATTTTCATTAAACATATACCAAACAATAAACATTAAAAATTTACTTGATTAATTAAGTAGTGAAGTTTACAAAAACAGAGTTTTTTAAGCTATATTCGTGTAGGGTAAAAAGAAAACATTCTGATTCTGAAACTATTTGATCAATCAAAAATAAAGCTTATTTCAAAACATTGCAAAAAATAAATATGATTTCCTTTTGTTATCTTACAAAGTTCTTACCATCTTTTGCAGGGAGTAAAGACGTCATCCGTAAGAAAAAGTAAAAAAAATAACTCTAAGAAAATAAAAATATTCTGAAAACATCTTTTTGTGTCCAATCATTATTACCAACAACTATTCATTATCAAACAATAAAATTCGCCTAGATCGGGGCAAATTTAGGTCCCGTTATTATGACCTTGCTTTGAAGCACTAAAAAGTATACACAAAGAAGCCAAAATCATTTTGCTATCTGCTATCCAGTTTTGTTTGGCTTGTTTTTTAAAATACTGCATGTAAGTTTTTTCATTCTTAAGAAATTTGATTAACTAAAACGTTAAAAATGTTTTTTGCAAGCTGTTATTGTAGTTATATGTTGTTTATAATCTATATGATTTGTTCATTCAAAGAAACAACATACAAAACATTTTTCTTCCTATTTGTAATCTTCAGAACAAGATCTTTAAGATAATACTAAACACAAGTATATTGCAGCGTATTAACCTCTTTAAAATCAGGTATATATATACATGTCAGTTGAGTACAGGAAATATTAATTAATGTGAAACTCATAAGTATTTACTAAGCTGTAGAATTACTCCACGAATTTGGGCCAAGAAATAAAACCATACTTGTAATCCTAAGAGCAATATCTTTAAGGCTACGTTTACACGAGACCGGATAAGTTTTCGTCCGCTCAAAAACTTGCACGGGCGAAGGTGTTTACACAAGTCGTTTAAAACTCGAGCGTTTACGCTTTCCGTTTACACACTATTTAGCTTTGTAGCACTTATTAATGGGTAAGAAAGGATTCGTGGGCATTGTTCGTGGGTCGTTTATGAGAAGTGAGAACACTTTATGATAGCTTGTGCACACAGCCGCGCATGTGTAATACATTTCACTTAAAACATGGCGTTCGAAATCATAATTTTGTTTGGAGTGACGAAGAGACTGCTCTTTGATGCGCGTAGTTATCGATTATAAATCTGATAAATGTAATGCTGGTTTCGACTGGGAAACAATCAAGAACAAGTACGAAGAAATACTACAGCGTTTTCGCGCAGCCTACCCAAAAAATGAAACAAGCATGGAACACTATCCGAACTGCAACAATTTAGCTGTTTTACCTAAGAAAAGATATCGCAAAGATAAAGCGTATCAAAGCTAATTTTCGTAAGGCTGTGGACAGTGGTCGAAAAGTGGTGGTGGAAGAGTTGTGCTGGGTCTGTATGACGAATGCTTTGAAATTTGGGCAGGATCTCCAGCAGTTGAAAGTATGCCAGAGGGAATTGAAACCGTTGACCTGGATGGTGGCAATGTTGGAAGCTCAACTCCAAATGTTAGGAGTATCTCACCAACATCTTCTAGTAGTCAATGCGATGATTCCATTGATTTATATGAAAGGAGTGAAGTTGATTTGAGAGTGAAATTGAGAGAAATGCTTCAGATAAACAAGATTTGTCTCACAAGGTCAAAGATATGGGTGAATTCAGACGTAATTTAATTAGAAATCTGAAAGAAAAGAAAGATTCAAAGCTGACTAAGAAGCGATCTTTAGATGAGAGCACAGGCTTCAATTAATTAGCAATTCAAAGGAAGAAGTTGTTCTCAAGAAAAGAGTTGTTGATATGATGGAGGAAGCCAATAGAAAACATGAGAATGACATGCAGTGCTTAAAAGAAAGCATTGGAAATCTCACATCAGCTATTAACAATGGATTTAGTTCCTTGCAAGTGTTCTTTCAACAGCCAATGCTGCCAACTGACCAACATGGCTACAGAAACCATCAAAATGGATATTCGCAATCTTTCCCATCTTATCCAAACTTTGATAGCCATGCTTTACTTTTTGGCTTTTAATAGCCCAAAATTTGTATTTTTCTATACTTAAGCTGTTTTTTTTATTGGAAAATTATTTCTAGACTTCATGTTTTGTGTTTGTAACACTGAAATTGGATTATTCTTATTGAGCTAAAACACATGTCCTTTTTCAGCTAATACACAATTAAAAATATTCATATTATCATCCGATAACTTTAACTAGAAAATTTTAAGTGATTGTTATTGGTTTCATCAATCAAAAAATTTTACAAAAATGTCTCTAATTATTTTCCCACTTTGTTCATCATTATTACCAAGGGTGTATCTGTTTCCCAGAATGCTGGTTGGAATTGTTTTTCACATTCTATTGCTTTGCTTATTTCTTCTTCAGCAACAACCTGCTTTTCCCCTTCACAATAGTTGTGGAGAACAAAGCATGCATAAATGACATATGGTAAATCTTCAGTGTTGATATCCATTTCACGCTTTAATATTCCAAACCTGCCTTTCAGTCTTCCAAATGCACATTCTATGACCATTCTCGCTGAAGAAAGGCGCCACCCAAAATATTGTTGTTGCACACTGTTGCCACCACCTGGGAACTCTTTCATAAGAAATGGAAGGAGAGGATAAGCGGGGTCACCCAGTATACACACAGGGACTGGCATCTCATCATCAACAGTTTGTTTTTGACATTTAAAACTCTCATTTTCACGAAACTTACGGTTAATGTTGGAATTAGAAAATATCCGTGCATCATGTACACTACCCAGCCATTTAATGACCACATCCATGAAACGATATTTAAAGTCACAAACAGCTTGAACATTAAGAGAATACCTGTTCTTTTTGTTAAGGTAATCTGTTGGTGAGGTACTGGGGCGTTTAATGAAAATATGCGTACCATCTATTGCACCCATGCACTGTGGAAACCCATGTTTAACAAAGAATTTTGAGACAAGAGTTTGCGTCTCTTCCTTATTTTGCGGTAGTTTTATGTATTTGGATCCCAGACTTTTTGTCAAAACATGGCATACTCGTCGAACGATTAGTGAGACTGATGATCTCGATACACCAAAGGCATTTGCCACTTTACGATATCTACCCTCGTCCGACAAATAATAGTGTTATTGCCAGTTGCTTTTCAACCGATATAGGTACGTGCATATTAGTAACTTTTTTCTCGAGAAACGGCTGAAGTAAATTGCATAATTTGGTAAAAGCCATTTTCGACATTTGAAAATTTTCTCGCCATTCTTCCTCAACAACAAAACCATTCATGAAATTCGTCCACCATTCGGAGCTCCTTGCTGGTCTCACCCAGAACCTTCGCCTTCTTCCTTTTCGCTTCCCTCTTTTAATGGAGTGTAAAAGCAAGCTGAATTTTTTTGTTTGCATGCCCAAAATGGCTGTCATAGCTGTCAACCGTTGCCTTCGTTCACGCTCTCTTTCTAATGACATTACAACAGCCGGAATAATTTCCAAAGTTGCAACGGAGCTTAATAAAGCCGACGTGAATAAAACTAAAGGAAGTTTTTTCTTCCATTGGTCCATGATTCGTGTATATATGTATTGCTACTACTGTTTTGTATACATCTATATTACCGAAAAAATCAGAGACATAGTGAGGGGTATGGATCGAATCCGATCGAAAAAACAACTGGATTGCGTTTACACAGTACAGCCAAAATATTCATCCGCACAAGTTTTATTTGCTCGCTTTTACAGCAGCACGAATATTCTTCGGATACATGTTAAAAATTAGTACGGATGCGTGTTGTAGTGTAAAGGAAGGGCTAACGGCGCGAGTTTTGAGCGGACGAAAACTTATCCGGTCTCGTGTAAACTAGTTCAAAATTAGGCTTATATATGCATGCCAGTTAAATACCGCGTATATTAACGCGAAAGTCACATACTTATGTTTTTCTTCGCTGTAGAATTGCTCCACGAATTTGGGCCAGGATAGTAAAACATATTTGTAATCCTCAGAACAAGATCTTTAAGCTGATACCAAACACAACTATATTGCAGCGTGTAAACTAGTTCAAAATCAGGCATATTTAGACATGAGTGAAATAATGCTACATGACAACATGAATATTAATTAATGCAAAATGTTCTACCTTTCTCAAGCTTTAGATTCGCTCCTGGACTTTGGGCCATGATAATAATGACATATTTAAAATCCTTGAAACACGCTCTTTCAGATGATATGAAACACAAGTAGATTGTAGCGTGGTTATAAAAAGCGTACTATCTTGAATCCTATTATTGCTGACTCATTGACATTTATATTTAACCATTCTATTACATCTTGTAACTTCCCTAATGATTGGAAAAATGCTAGACTTACTCCATTGTTGAAAACGCCAAAAGAATTTGACAACCAACTACAAACCGATTTTTGTTTTACCGGTACTCAACAAAATTATGGAGAGAATTTTATACCACCAGCTTTATGATCACTTAACAAAATTTCAATAGGTCCCAAATCACTTACTACTTTATTTAGTTTTAAAAGTGCGTCTACTGATTATCAACTTTGTGGTATTAAAAAAAGTCCTAAGCTTACCCCAGCCACAAACAAATAGCCTTGCAATAAATGGTCCACAAATCTGGAACTTATTACCTATTGATATCAGAGAATCATGCTCTCTAACGTCCTTTCAAAACAAAATTGCTGCTCACTCCCAAATAAATTCGTGATGTTTAAATGTAAATATTTACCTAACTTTGTAGTCAATGGAATGTAATTTTATTAATTTAGTATTCCTGTTAAAATTCATTTGTATTAAATTTGCGCACGCCCAAATTGAGAAACAACTCACTTGTTGACAATGGTTAGCAGGTTGAAATAAAATTATTCATTCTTTCATTCATTCCTGTGGTACCTTCACAGTTGACTTTGCATGGCTTTAGATTAAGCTTCACGAATTTGGGCCACAAAAGTAAAGATTTATTTGAAATCCTCAGAAAACTTACTTTCGGATCTTACCAAACAGAAGTATTTACCAGCGTGTTTACTTATGGTATATATATAACTTATATATGTAACTTATATATATATTTGAAAAAAAGACATTTAAATTTTTAAATAGTATTTTATATTTAAAATTATTTACAAAAAAATGAGAACTGATCGACAAAGAGGAGGAAGACAACAAAAGGTGGATTTATTATGTTTCTAAAATTCGCAATATGCTTAAATCTGGATTTAAAAAAGCATTAAGTAAAAAACATTTAGCGTTAAAATCTGCAAAAGCTGCAAGAGCTTTAGCAATATCAGTAATACTGGGTTTTAAAGCAAAAAAAGTGTAAATTCGCCTTTAATGGATAAAGCATTTGAAATTGCAAATAATCAATTGGGTAAAGGTGCATTTAGAGGACAAATGTATGTAAGGGGTAAAAGAAGAGATGAAAAGGGAGGAATTATAGGATTGTTACCATTATTAGGGAAAATGTTTTAATTCATTAAATAAAACATTATTTATGTAAAAAATATTTTATTCAATAAAAATAATATTTATATACAAATTATTTTACTTTCTATTGTGTAAATTGAGAGAATACTAATAATATCTCAAACAAAATTCGTTTGCTGTTATCACATCTATTAAACAATTATCTTCAATACCTGTGACTGGTACAATCTGACACTGACTTCAACAAAATCGAAAATGTGAATTTTGTATTAAACCAAGATGCAAAAAATTGTTTTCACCGCTTTAATGTATTTAATAATCAACGCAGTTTGTGTTATGACAAAAATCGCAAGTTTTAATATATAGAATCATACCTAAATTAAAACAGAATTGTGTAAATTCGAGAGAATACTAATAATATCTCAAACAAAACCTGTTTGCTATCATCACATTTATTAAACAATTATCTTCAACAAAATCAAATATAAGTTTTCTATTAAAATTTAGTAAAATTCTGACATTTACAGTATAACTTTTCAGTTTTTATGTTCTTTTGTATTTCTTTGATTCACTTGAGATAAGCTTTACATATCAGAAAATATTGATGAACTTGAACTTGATCGTAATTTTTGTTTTTTAATTCAACGCCAAAAACAATTAAAGTGCCCAACTTTTTCGAGAATGAAATCTAGGCATTATTCCTAGTATTTTTGCGAAAACAGAAATTAATTTGGTCAAATTGTTAAATTTTTATCATAATATATATTTAGTATTTAATGGCTTAGGAATCTTTATTTTGCAACGGCAAATAGGCTGGTTCTAGCTTTGTTTTTCACTCATTCTATAACCTTTTAATCATAGGTAAACTTTTTTGTCATTTTGTGGTCTATTATCAAAATGTAGATTTTGAGTTCAAAATCTGTTATGCAACAAAATGACAATAATAAAATGACTAAAATATTATAAAATCCTAGATATGACAATATATTTTCATATAATGACAAATTTTTACTGACATTTTCATAAAATATTTAGGAGCATCCACTTAATGACAAAAAATAATCCACAATATGACAAGACAGCTTTATTTTCTTATTATAACTATGTCATGTTTTAATATTAGGTAGCAAATGTGCCACACATCAAGTGCCTGCATTTTGATGTAAAAAACGATCTATTGAAAGATTGTCTTTGATATATAAAGCAAAATTTCTAATCCACAAAATAACAATTAACTACCAAGAAATCATAAAATCCAAAATATGACAATATTATTTCATCTAAATGACAATTTGTCCACAAAATGACACATAGTTCCATATAATGACAATAAACTACCAATTTTTACTGACATTTTTATAAATTATTCAGGATCATCCACTTAATGACAAAAAAGTAATCCACAATATGAAAAGACGGTTTTATTTTCTTATTACTAATATGAGATGTCTTAATTTTAGGTAGCAAGTGTGCAACACATCAGTGCCTGCATTTTGATGTAAAAAACGTTCTATTGAAATATTATTCTCGTGATATATTAAAATAAAACTAATTGTCTGCAAAATGACTTTAATAAACTGACCAAAAAAATCATAAAATCCAAAATACAACAATAATATTTCATCTAAATGACAATTTGTACGTAAAATGACAATTAATCCACATATTGACAAGCTTTACTAACAATTTCAAAAAAAATCAATAAGAGTCCATTGAAGTTCAAGGGTTTATCCACAAAATGACAATTAAATAAACATAATGAAAACAAAAATTTTAAAAATATCCACAAAATATCAATTGATAGAATTGTAAAAGTTTAATGAGATATTTCTTAAGAAGGAAAATTGGGGGTTTTATGAAATTTTGATATAGTTTACTTGAGATGTAATACTACACACATACAAAAAATTATTGCTTTTAACATAACGATCGTTACATTTTAAAGACAAACACATAACTATTGATTAATCAAACAGGATTCAACAAAATTTAATTAAGCTTGGAGTACTAATAAAGTTGAGCATGCGCAAAATTTCTGCAAAGTTTCAATGATATTGATTAAAACAAGGTACACAAGTACACTCTACTTTCCAAGTGTTAAAAAGTGGTTTTTCAAGGTCTGCTACCTTTATGAAGTTTTCTGTCACCACGCCAAATTTTCACAGAATTTGGGTAACTCTAAAAACATACATCAAAAAAAATGCATCCCATGGAGAAATTGCACAAAATCGTATTACGTTTATATGAATACATTAATTCTTGTTAAAGGCCTTTACTCAAAACCAAATTTATTTTATCGTCTTTATTATGTGATGTTCTATTTTTCATGATTGATTAAAAAGTAGGTAAGTTACCATCTTTAATAAAAAACCACAAAATGACAAAAAAATACTGACTTAAAATCAAAATATCCAAATAATGATAATAATTTGTAAACAATATGACAAATATCAACAAAATTACAGTTAATCCAATAAATAACATGAATAAACTAACATGACAAAACTGACCTTTTTTGTGTTTTCACTTACTAACAATTAAAAATCCATGCAAGGACAAATAAAATAATTTTCTTAATTACTCATTAAAATTAAGAGGTCAGGCTTTGATGATAGGTAAGCGATTCAATAAGAACATTACCTTTAAGTAGGCATAAAAATTTTCATAAAACAAATTTACTAATTATCGATCAAAATAAAAATCATCAAAATCACAACTAACCCACAAAATAACAATTTTTTGCTGAACTTCAAAAAAGTTTAAAAATATGTCAAAAATCGATAAATATTGCAAAAAAGATATCATCATGTAGAAAATCAAACGCTCTATTTAAATCTGAATTTTTTTGTAAAATTTTCATTTTTTTATGCCATATCTTAAAAAATTAGTATTAACAGGTTAATTATTAACTATTCATGGCAAATTCTTCCAGTATCATAAAGAGGCAATTATAATGCAACATTCAAGAACTCGTTAAGTAATACCCAATAGATTCCCTTAAATAAAGTAAAATAGAAATCCACATATTTACAACAAAATCAATCAAATGACAAATACATCCTGAGTTTGCACAATTTTTTCCACTAAATCACATCTCAAAATGGCAATTGTCATTTTGACGGGATCCACAAAATGACGGTTGTCATTTTGAAAAATAAAATTGTAATTATGAGGATCGAAATCCACAAAATGACACTATGATCCTGGCCCTAATTAGGACCATTGGAAATTTGTTGATCGATACTTTAATGGCATTTAAGAAGTAACGAGGCCGTCTTTGGTGACCTGCTTTTGCATGAGGATAGTGCTGCTGACACACAATTACATACCTCTTGGGGACGGCTGTATCTCTAAAAGGGGCGGAGTTAAAAAATAATACAAAAAAAAAATCAACAAATTTCCACTTTTCTGAAAAGGCCACGCCCTTTTCACCGCGTGAGCTGAAATTTCGTGGGTGCACTCCCCTGCCTCCCCCGACCTTCCAGTGCGAAACCCTGTCGATGGTCCTACCTCTTTTTTTCTTTTTCGGCAAAGTCTAGGTAGTGTCAAGTAGTTCACTCATTGATACATCTTCTTCATACGAAGACCAAATTTTGAAAAAGTTAACTTAAAATATCTCAGAAAAGAAAAAGCTATTGTTCCCTAAGTAAAATGCGATGCTTAGAATGAATCTGTGCTTTTTTCAAAAAAATTCGATCTTTATGCTGAAATCTGAACAAATTGAATTATTATGGAATTTTGTTGATTTTGGAAATTTGTTGATCTGTGGAAATTTGTTGATTTTTTATGGAAACTTGTTGATTTTTTAAAATGAGTTAGGACCATCGTGGAAATTTGTGGATTTTAAAAATTGTTTTATCTAAGGAATTTTTAATATTGAAGCACCAAACACTGCATGAGTGTTCTAATAACAAATTATTCTTGTGCTATGTTGTTTGATTCATTTTTAGACAAAAACTGGCTGATTTACTTTTTCTTAATTGTCGTTTTACCCTTAAGAGATATGAAAATTTGTCCTTAGCTACCAATGATTGGCATTTCATAAGCTATCTAACTGTGTGTTTTTTTTCAAATTTGGGAAAATCTCAATAAACTACCTCCAAGACAAAAAATGTGGAATATTGTTGATTATTTGGAAATTTGTTGATTTTTTACTTTTTTTGATGGAAATTTGTGGATTGAAGGGAAATTGTCTTTAAATCTTATTCAGTTTTTACAAAAATGGCCATGTGCGTGTGTCTATGGTTATACAGACTTTGAGACTTTGCCATACAGACTTTGAGAAGTATCTGTCATATTGATCCTATTTTTTTTTAAAAATATCTTTTTTATTTGTTTAATATGCTTACTTTTCAAGATATGAAATTTTGTCCTTAGCTACCTATGATTGGCATTTTATAAGCTATCTAAATGTGCTTTTTTTTACAAATTTTGGGAAAATCTCAATAAACTACCTCCAAGACAAAAAATGTGGAATATTGTTGATTATTTGGAAATTTGTTGATTTTTTACTTTTTTTGATGGAAATTTGTGGATTGAAGGGAAATTGTCTTTAAATCTTACTTTCAGGAGTATCTGTCATATTGATTCTATTTTTTTGTAAAATATCATTTTTAAAAGTCTGGATTCTTTTAAAAGTCATCAAAATTACATGGTTATATTTTCCATCTAATAATCTTACAACATATATCATTTTAAAATGTTTAAGAAAATATGAAATTGATTTTTTCCAAAAATATAAAATTTTAAATGGTCCATATCCCCCCTGGATTTTTTTAACAGTAACCGAAGTTTCATAGTATATTTGGCATGTAGTGTTCTTACATATGGCTTTAAGATGTTTAAGAAAATATATCTTTAAAACAAGTTTCTTCTAATAATTCTGTAAAAGCTCCTGGATTTCTTCAACAGTCACCGAAGTTTAATGGTATATTTGGCATACAGTGTTCTTACATATGGCTTTAACATGTTTAAGAAAATATTAAACTATATCTATAAAACAAGTTTATTCCAATAAACGCCTGTTTTATAAGTTTCACTTCCTTTTTCACCTGGCAGCCATATTGGAAACACCTTGTTTTGAGAGAGGAGTGTTTTTGGTTCGTTTGGGGGAATCTGAAGCTTTTTCGTTAGCTTTTTCTAATAATTAGCAACATAAGGTATGTAAGAACCTGCTTGATACGAAAATTTAAAGTTTTTCATTTAAAAAGAGGGTAAACTTTGACAATATCATTTCACTCCATGTTTTTATTTTTTCATCTTTGTATTTCAACTTCCATTTGAAAATTAAAACTTCATCTTAAGCATGTAACGTGCTTCTTATGCTTGCAACTGCTTTTTATTTGGTTTTTGAACTTTGTCAATCTAGTTTGCAGTGTTTTTTTTTTGTCATCATTACTACAGATGATATATTGTTAAACTTGTTGTTAAGTGTATACCCTTCCGAGTCCATAACTCATTTGTTTAATCGTTTTAAGAAAAGAACACCATGCTATCTTCTTTATCATTACCAAATCTAGGCAAATGCCTTTGAGCGTCTCGAGCCGCCATGAAATCCAGGGGGGGAAAATTGACTTTCTTCATTTTTTCCAATTATTTAAAAGTGATACTTATTTACTTAAACGTTTTAAAGCCATATGTAAGAACATTCAATGGCCAATCTAACCATTTAACTTTGGTGACTGTTAAAAAAATCCAGGGGGGGAGATACAGCTTTAAAATTTGAAATTTTTGTAAAATGTCAATTTCCTATTTTCTTTAATGTTTTAAAGGTATATGTAAGGACATTCAATGGCCAATGTAACCATTTAATTTTGGTGACAGTGGAAATAATCCGGGGGGAGATAAATCTTTAAATTTTTTTAGCAAAATTACAAAAAAATCCATTTTTCATCTTTATTACTTAGGAAGATGTCAGCAAAAAAAGTCAATGTAAAACTTGTCTTTAATGAGATTGCTGAAGATTTGGACATGATCTGACAGGGTGAAGGTGATTGTGAAAGATACAGACTTTTTATAAGTCTTCCGTGACCGAGATGACTTAAACTTTAATGTCCCAATGGGTTTTTTTACAACGAATGAACATGAGGAGACATTGCAGTTAATTCTTGAAAGATACAACATTACCAAAGCCAGTAATCTATTTGACTTTGCATCTTCGGTGCTTCTACCTGAAGCACTCATTAGAATTTATGGAACTGCCAACAATTTCAATTACAAAAGGCAAGCAAATTTGTTTATAGAAAAAGTGGCGATCAACAACATCAAAAGAGGAGGGAGAGATTATTCAAACATCATCGAATGAAGAAAAAGAAGAGGGTGAACTGTCATCAAGTAGTAGCGAAGAGGTAGTTTTGTAACTAAAAAGAACAAAGCTTTACTATCTATGCTTTTTTTATATGAAATATGTTTTATTTCATTTTTAGGAGATTTGTGACAGTCCAACAAGAACAAGGCACAAAATGAAAAATATTGCTTTTCATTTTGAGGTATTTTTATCTATTCAATTTTACATTGTATGAATAAATTTAACAAACCTTTTTCCAAAAGGAAAGTGATAATGAGCCTCCCGAAAAAAGAAGAAAAGAACTGGAATGTGAAACTGAGGAAGAAATTGACGAAACGCCTGGGGATGACGTGTCTTCAAATGGAGAAGAGAAGGTGCTATTTTCGGTGTCTTTCCCTGATTTTGTATTTTTAGTTGTTACACATTTATATTTGAAGGAAATAGAAACACTTTCTGAAAGTAAGTATTATTCTGACAAGAAGAACAAAAAGGTAAAAAACTTTTTTAGATGCTTTCATTTGAAGTTTTGTCAATTTAATATTTTAATTATTCAGTGGCAAAGACGATACAAGCGATGCCCTCAGTGCAAAGGACAATTCAAGTATTTATCATCTCATTTAAAAAAATACCACAAAATGTCCAAGCGTCGTGCACAAACGTTGGCCTCAAAGCACAGAGCTTTAAAAGATAATCCAAAATCTGCAAGACAACGAAAAACTAAATGTCCTGTTATAAACTGTGAAAAAACTCTAATTAGACTTGACAAACACCTAATTAATTTTCATCGCTTTCAAAGGGAAAGTGAAGAATATAATCGGTATGACAAAAAATTCTTGTTAAATGAGCATTCTCTATCTAACCAGTGGTGATGTCATTACGTATTCCACTATTTTGTAGTTACAACAGACAAGCCATTGCTGCAAGAAAATATAAAAAAGATGAGTTGAAAATGAAGAAAACAATGGCAAAACGACGGAAAGAAAGAAGCAACTACGTAAATTACTCACAGTTTGTACCTCATGAAGAAGAACAACAAAACACAACAGAGGATGATGATGTCGAACAAGCAGTCCAAAACATGTCCCAAAGACCAAGGAAACCGAAAGATGAGCTTTCATCGGAAAGAATAAAAAGAATAGAAAAACTGCCTCTTATCAAAATGTTTTACCAATACTTGATATCATTTGAAGGAAAGTTCAGAAAACCAAGGGATGCATCAGATCATTCTCGTCGGATTTGTCGCTTGCTTTACGAGCTACAAGATGAACCAAATGACGCATCCATCTTGTGGCAAGATGAAAGCTTAGATCAGCTAAGAAATTCATTCTTCCTTGGAAACGATCTCTTACAAAAGCCAAGGGCTCCAAACACGCTAAAAACATATGTTGTCTCTCTGAAGTTATGGTTGAAGTTTATGCTTGCCAGAAAAGTGATGATAAACAACATTTTCCCTCAGTTAAATTCAGAGCAATTTGAATTAATTCAAAGTGCAATAAAAAGATTGGAATGTTGGCCATCTTCATTCAGAACGGCTAGTCAACAACGCAAAAATGAAAATAGAAAAAAAGCAGAAAAACAACGGCTGAGGTCAAAGGACTTTGAGAAGTTGACCAACACTTCAATATTGAAAGAAGTGAAAGGAATTTGTGCTAGAGCACAAAAACCTAACTACTACATTGAAGTGAATGAATTTTGCACAGTCCGAGATTATCTCATGTTAATGCTTGTCCTTGGAAGTGCCCAACGATCCGGGGCACTTGCAAACTTAACTGTGGATGAGTTTGAAAAAGGGGAATGGATAGAGCACACTTATGTAACAAAAACACTATTACACAAGACACAATCCTTAGGTCCCGCAAAGCTATATTGGGACAATACCCTAAAATGCATAGCAGATGCCTACTTAAATAACATGAGGCAAATTTTTGCTACATTGTCTTCTCATCATCGTCCTGAGCCTGGCAGAAGCAATAGTAGAGGTGCATTTTCATTGCCATTTCTGGAAAAGCTCTGGATGAGAGCCGAAGTTAGTAGAAGGCTGATAGAGTTCGGAAAAAGTTGAACATAGACTTACCTGGAACACTGAAAAGTAGTAACTTACGCAAATCTATAATATCATTGCAAAGAGAGCAGCACTCCACCATAACAAAAGATCAGTTGGCAAGACAAATGACGCATGATGTGAGGACTGCTGAGAAATATTACAATGTGTGCAACACCGACCGAGAAGATGTGAACATATCTAAAGCCATTTCAAAATTGACCACTAACTTAAAGGAAATTGCTGATCATGAAAGCAAAGATGAAGAGTCAGAAGAAATAAATGCAGAAAAAATACGTCAAGAAGCCTTGCAAGTACAGGAAGAACAAGTTTCAAAAGATGAAGAAGAGTGTGAATCATCACAAGTCCAGTATTCGACATGTAAAATGAAGCCTTAACACCTGCTGAAAAAGCTGAGACTTGGGTTGAAAGCCACTTTGAAAGAATTTCTCCAAAAATTGTGCCTTTGGAGGCAAGAGTAGTTATTGCAAAGAGAAACTTGTTTTAGCAAGAAACTTCCTCTAAGTCATCATCTGTATCATTGAAAAACGTTTAGTGAGGCAGATTTTCAAGCTATTCAAGAAGCAACATCACACCTGCCACCAAGTAGTATTACAAAAGACATAATCCATGCAATTGGTGAGTCCAAGGACTGTCAATATTACCAAATTTTGAAAAAATACACTAGACAGCAACTCAGGGATAAGTTCAGAAACATAAAACGAGCAAAGAAGCGATAAGGAAGGAATGTGAAATGTAAATTTTTATGTAAATAATATTCATATTTTGATATCATATATTTAAAAGTTAGGCTATTTGGACAGAAATATTTATGTTATGTTAATTGAGGTCAGTACATTTAGAATGTATTACATTAATAGAATATTGGTAATATGTGACTAACTTTGATCAGCTAAAAAGAATATTTTGAAGTACGTTTTATATTATATTTGTTATTATAAATGACTTGTACAACAAAAAAAAATTCTTAAACTTGTAGATCACTGTTTTATTCAAGCTCATAAGCATTCGTTAAAGGCAAACTGCACCTATGAAATGGAAATCAAAAATTTTACATTTCTCTGGATTTACTACTTTTCAGCGTTCCACAGCTTTGCTTGGAACCCTGGAAAATAGTAATCTGATGAAATGAATAAACATGGAAGAAGCCAATAACGGACTTAAAAAGAATAAATTCTTCATACAGACAAAAGAGATATTTCAAGAGCAATGTTAATCTCAATTTCGTAGAAATATTAAGGTAAGAAAAAATAAATTTTCTTTAAAAAAATGAATAAAAACACTTTTTCCTTAATAATTAATCCACATTCAACAAATTTCAAAAAAAAAAAATTGAAATAATCAAATTTCCACATTCCACAATTTTCCAAAAATATAAATAAACAAATTTCCACAAATTTCCACAAATTTCCAAAAAAAAAATTCCAAAAAATGAGATCATCAAATTTCCAACTTCAACAAATTTCCATAGTGGATGTTATGGAAATTTGTGGACCGAAATCCACAAATTTCCACGATGGTCCTAGCCCTAACCCTAACCGATATTTTTGTATTATTTAACTAAAAATTTAATTTAGAAAAATTTAATTAAAGAAATACCAAGATGTCCAACACAAGGACCAAACTCAGAAGCCCCAAATGGCATTCCTCATCACTAACCATATGGCTGAGCGCAAGGATGCCGGAACGGCAAAAGGGCAGGAGGGGCAAGCCTTTGTGGAAGGGCACATTAGTGAAATATACTAAAAATAATCTAATAGTGATAAACAGCAAAGAGATGTGCTACATTCAATACACTGTACAGAAGCACATGTCCACAGTGTTGTCGATGAATATTAACGATAATATAACTATCAAACGATGTACCGTCACTAATTTACAATTTGTCATCACTCGTGTATTGTATTTTCCAAAGTATTTAATTCTTCTTTCATTTCTCTGTGAAAACTCTTTGGCAATTATGTCTATTTCCACCATATCCATGTATTGCTTCTGAATATTGGAGAACATAATATCATTCAGATGATTTCCTTCAGTGTTTGAGCGCAGCCATGTTTTGAGACGATGCATTACGCTGAATGTACGTTCGCACGGGGCAGATGAGAGTGGCACTGTGTAATATAATGTCATTAGTTTGTGGATCTCTGAGCACCTTTTCTTGGCTGACAGCATGGCATTGAATACCTCTGCTATTGTTGAAATACGCGTGACTTCTGTTATTTCTTTCTTCTTATCCGCGTTGTAAAGCCCAAGACCTGTAGGAAGATCATCAAGCTGCATTCTTAGAACATCTTTATCAATCAAGAATTGCTTAATCCATCTAAGGATACTCCTCTTTCTTTCAAAGAGTTAAGTAACAGTTCCTCGATACATTTGATCTGGAAAAGATCGTCTTGCTCAAATCGCGATCGCAGACCTGAGATGATTGCATCAATGGCTTGGTAAGTACGAGCTTTGCATTGGTGTTATATTCACACTGTGTTGTAAACTGAGGCATCTGTGACATGAAGGTTTTCTGTCATCAACATTTCTTTATTATTCATCCATCTGGGAACTTTTCTTAGTGTAGTGCCAGTGCTAAAAATTTTCACTAGATTCCAGTGGAAACGACATCATAACATGAAAAACTTTCTTAGCGTCATCAAGTGTACGCTCAAGCTCTTCTTCCCTTCTTATCACATGAAGATGTTTCAGGATATGTCTTATTGAAATTAGAGCATACTCAGCTTAAATATCAACCGCATGGAGCTCTTTAGAAAGCTTCTCGAGTAAAGCCAATAGCTTTCTTGTTGCGTTTAAATCAAAGATGACAATTAAGGAAGACAGTTGTCACCTTAATATTCCTATAATCTTTGCTTTTGTGTGTGCCGAAATGCTAGGATCTTCATGCAATTTTTCAAGGATTGCATGTAGTTCAGCCGATTTCTCGAAGATGACGTCGCAGCCTTTACTCTTGTTGTCCATCTTGTTGTAGAAAGACTTTGGAGTCATAGAACTTTGTAATCGTTTGGTCCTGGTTTCATTTGTAAAATCTGCCTGTATTTCTTTGAACAATAAAATACATTTTGGATGGGCACTTGCGATTGCATACAGGGATTGGCATAAATCCAGTGATGTAGACAATAAATTAGATTGCTTAGCTGCATCCTGTATAATAAGTTCATTGCAGTGACTGAAACAATGAACATAAATTGCGTTTGGTGTAATATCTTCCTTGAGCTTTCTTGCCAGGGATTTCATTGCTGAAGCCCCATCAAAGCCCATAGGTGCCATTTTGTGACCTTCCATGCCACACCTGAGAAGGTTGTCTTTGGTGTAGTACAGCAATGCATCAGATGAAATTCCTTGCAAACATTAATAAATTCCAACAAAAACTTCTGATACTTCGTAATTATCATCACAGGTCTATACTGAAGAGAAAGACAACTGTTCCCTCTTAGACACGTCTGATAATTCATCAGCCAGAATTAAAAATACTTCTCTCACTAGAATTTTAGAATATCAATGAAATGTCTTCGAGCATTTAATACAATCATCTGTTTCTGGTCGTCCAGGATGTCGTGTGCAGTTTCGTATCAGTTCTCGTTAAGTAAAAGTTTTAGTGCCTTGTCGTTAATAGCTTTATCAAGATTGAACTGATGAATATTAGATTCAAAATCCGATCTACCTCTAATCGCTATACCTTGGCGTAAGAGTGTTTTTAATGTTTGAAGATGTGAAATTAACCCTTTCCGCCTTAACTGCTGCGTTTCAAGAGCAAGCGAACTGTAGGCTATGCTAATAGAAAATTGCCCTTTCTCTGATGGGGCACAAGCTTCTTTATGAGCGCAACTGTTTTCATGTTTGTTGAATTTCGCACAGCTTTTTTCCAGTTATCAAATCCAACTTCATAACTGCCAAACACTCCCTTTATCTTAGAGTGAGTAGAACAAATTTTGCAAAATCCTTACTTCTTGATTGTAAACTAACCACTCAATAATTTCGAAACCATTGACCATGGAAATATCGACCATGCTTCACATTACTTTCCTTGTCTTTACTTGTAAAGTCTTTCTTAAAGTCTATCAATATTTTACCAATGTCATTTTCATGCATATCTTTTCTGTTTCACCAATCAAACTTTTTGGTTTGGACCATTTTTGTGACTCACAGTCCCGAGACTTTCAGTATTGATAGAGTTATTACAGTGTCAATTCTGCTTGTTAAAGAAAAATCAAAATCATAACCTGTGTTTCCTTTTGCAAACAGCGATGTTATTTTTGATTGACCCAGTTTAGCTTTCTCTAATGCTTTTGCTGAATCTTGTTTACATCTTTCCGCTCTTGGCATTGCAGAAAAGGCGATAAGATGCAAACATATCCCTTTCAAAGTCAACAGTGTTAAGATGACTGAGCCATTTAAGCCAGCAGATGTTTACCATTAAAAATATCTTTGCTATACGTCATGTTGCTGGCACTTTTGGATTTAATAGTAATGAAAGGAATTTGCAAAGTAGTGTGATCTTTAGTTGTTTACATTTAAAAATGACTTTTCACGGTTAAGTAGTTTTATCTTGGATTAAAACAATAAATTTTCAACCTGTAGGGCACTTTTGCCCCCTTGCTTATCTCCAGAAAAGGCAAGGAGTGGCCGTTGCCCCCCAGTTCCTGCGTCCCTGGCTGAGCATGCTTCTTCCAAAAATATCAAATTATATTGGTTTTTACAAAACATTGCCGGAAGTTACAAATTCAATATGTCAGATCAGGGTGCAATCAGGATTTAGCTGCTTGTCAAATTGGTTGTCTCTGCCATATTGATTTTTCTATAAGTAAATTATATGAAGTATTTCATTAAGCCAAAATGCAAATGTATTATATACTATATATAGACCAAAAACCATGACCAGCCCACAATTTAAAGAATTATAATATAAAACAAATTCCGAAGAAACAAGACATCTTGAGATTGCAAAATATGAATCAAAACTAGACAAGAAGTAAACTGTAAATTTTCGACTTTAT